AAAAAAAAAGAAAAAAAATCAATGAAGTGCACTAATACATGTATCTGCAGAGTTTCATTCATTTATATATTAACTGGCTTTCATGAATATGCAAAAAACCCACTATTTCTTTCAACTGTTGCCATGCAACAGAGAAAAAAAAAATCACAAGCAGCCAAACGATTGGAAACTCCAGAAACAAGCTGTTCCTCAATGTGACGAGTGCTGTCTTCTATACTGAAGAAGCTAGATATTACGCTAGTAGACTTCCTCTAATACAGGTAACTAGCTCTGAACTCAATAAACGTGTAAAATTGCCTTAATTCACTCACTAACATTCTGAAATAAAGTGAAACTTCTCTCGAGTACACAGGTAGGCTGCCATGCTTTCTTAGCCATGGCTTATTCCCACGTCTTTGCTTAGAAGTCAGTGGTGTTTATCTCAAAGCTCTACCAAATGGCCTGTTGAGATCACAAGAACTCTTTTCTAGGCTTGCAGGCCACAAACTGCACAGTGGAATAAGTGGCTTCCTTTGGCTGTGTATAGCCACCCCCTTCTAGAAAAAAAGAAAAAAACCAAGACAATAAGCGCACCTGCAGAGAATACTGTTGGTCTGAGTGGCTTTTTCAGTGTGCTACAAAACCACAGCAGTGCATGTAAGAGAAGTTCATTTTGTAACAGAAGTGTTATATCCTCCCATTTCTGTATATAACCACAGATAGGCCACTGACATAATGAACACTTCCCATGAGTCAAATTATATAACAATATACAGAAACGTACCTTTTCGCCAGGAAGACCAGCAACCCCATCCTGTCCTTTCGCACCTATTTCACCCTACAAAAAAAAATAGTCAGTTAGCAGTTCTAAAGACATCTGAAGTTAACAACTACTCAGGTCATATCTGATTCAACAGAACAGCATCTTTTACCATCTTTTTGTCATGCTTAGTAATGTAACCACCGTGGAGGAGGATGCCTTACATGTAACACTGAAATCAGACAAAATAAATACTCTTTAAGCCACCTATAATGTCAATTAAGACCTCATCTGACAAATACTTGCACATTTCCATAAAAAGCAAGTATACTGATTTTAAGGGAATTCACTGCAACAGTAGAGTGAAGCCAAGTGGGTCCATTATCACTGGGTTGAGTGTGTTCTGCGCTGAGAAAGCTCAACACATAATACAGATTTCTTTGGTCTAAAAGTAATGTGCCCACAATATTTTTAAGAGACACTATTTAAACTCAGTTCCTCT